GCCCTAAAACCCTCTCAGAAATGAGAGGAGGCCTGTGCCCAGAAGTGGGACGTATATAGGCTGTAACTTTTATGTGATTAATGAATCCATATAATACTTAAAATCTTTTTTCGTTATCTATATACTGTTCAATAATTGTAACTGATTGCAAAATACCCATTTGTGTGTACCAGAAATTACTTGAGTAAATTGTTATATTTTCATTTTTGATTACAAAATCGCGGGAAGCTTCAAATACCTACTTAACGTGTGTTTTATTTAAAGTTTATCCTTCATTGAATGATTTTGCCATAATTGCCACGCTTGAAAGAAGAAGAGTGTTGGTAACCGCAATTTTTTAATTATTTTGAGTTGTTCCATAGTCACATTACACGCAATCACTTATTCTGTTATTATTACACGCCTTATGAAAATAACTTAAGAATATCTAAACGCACTAAATTACTTGAAAATTAATTGCATCGAAAACAGTTATGTAACGGACAATGAATCGTTGTTACGGAATAAGCAAAATCCTCAGACCGTAACATTCCAGGTTTTCATCGAGATAACAGAAAATCCTTAGCCTAAAGATCTATGCCCGTTGCATTGACCTGCGGACTCCCAACTAGGTCATGTTCTCATATCAGATGCGATTAGCTTTATGTCTGATCTTACGACGTCTTCCGACTATCGATGAGTAGTCAAAAGATGTAAAGTTCGCTCATAATGTGAAATTTAAATTCCATGTTTATAAAGAAGGTTCTGTCTTTATAAATTATATCATTACTTATTATACAAAATACATTTATTTCTAAGGAATCTTCTTACTTTATTTTGTTCCTCTTAACCCCAAAATACTCTTAGAAAGTCTGCTTTAAAATCATCAAAAGTTGTCCAACGCACACTATTAATGCGAACCCAATATTTGGCTTCACCTACTAAGCACTCTTGTGCTATTGATATTTCAAGTCCGTTAGATGGGACTTTCTTTAAATAATTGGTGAGATCTTCCAAAAATGTTACTGGATGAGTATTTCCATTTCCAAATTTCGGCTTTTCTATTGTCACATTATGTATGTTATATACAATTAGAGTTACATATAACTACGAGCGAGCATATATTGTAGATTAAAGTTATCCATAGAACAAAAGTAAAAAATTACATACAACATTATTTAAAAAGTTCAGTTGTTTTACGTTTATACTCAATTCAGGTTACAATTTATTTAATCAATATCTTGATAAATGCTTTTAAATATCAACTTTGATAAACCTTTTAATATCTTAGGAAACTTTGAATTGTTAAATATTATGAGTATAAGAATCATTTAAAAAATAAATTGAAATATGAAATAACTATAAAATCCAATTAAACAACTGAGAGAGTTCTTTGAACTGAAATACTTTTACGAGTAAGTTTTTGTACTGTAGATATAATGTATTATCAAACGTCATTTAGAACAGTTTTATTTTACTTTATCTCGTTAGCGTGCAACACTATGCGACTATTGACGTCGTAATTATAATTATCAGATTAATTTCGATAGCTTAAAAATAGGTGTAACAAAAAATGCTTAAATATTCTTTCGTTATTTATAAAAAAGAAGGAAAATTGTAGTAAGCAACTTTAGAGTAATATCTAATTGTACGCTACTAATATAAAATATAGGTGGAATGAGAAATTTTTATTTAAATTTTTTTTAAACAACCTAATTTTTTTATTCCCTTATGCTTATATATCATTTATTTATTATAAATAAAATCATAAACTTCATTTATTTACAGTAATAAATAATATAATATGCATAAAATAATAATTAATTTCTATATCTTAAAACCTATGCATTGTGTTAGTTTTAATATGTGTGCGTTGCCGACGGCAGAAGTTTCACCTTGATGAAACTAAGGCCCAAATTAAATTTTTGTTATTAAAGGTTCTTCGATTCTATTGTTTTTTCATCAGATCTATTACATAGAAAATATCTAGTTTAAAATAAAGTTATTTCGAGTAAAATATATAAATAGTGCACCATCTCCTCTAGATATTGCAAACAATAGACATAGCAACATTCCATTTATTTTAACATTATTAAAAATAATTATACGATCATTAAACGTTTTGCAGCATTAATTTCTAATTGCGCTTTATTTAAACACAGTATAATTCTACCTAAAGTTTTTAATTTCAATAATGAAAATAAGCTGAAAACATTCACACATTTAGAATTAATTTGGAAACCCAGCATAATATTTTATTTGGCATAAGTACAAAATATTTACTTATGAAAACTTTTTCAGAATGTTCTAAATGTATAAAACTTAATGGGTTCTTTGTTTTTCCCATAGACGTAGTTGTGCTGTTGTTGTAAATGTTTTCTGTCCGTTTCTGGAATATTCATGCGGGCACAGCAAGTATATACTAATACTTGCTGTTACTAATTCCTAATAATAAATAATATTACAAAGAGAGTGTGCAAAGTTCGTAAGTTCATATAGGTATATGTAGGGAGTAATCTCTGAAGGTATTGCATCTATTTGGAAACATCCTTCACCATTTGAAAGCATGTATTCCAGTTGAATATATGCTATATATAATATGGCTAAAAGTTATAATAATATTCGACAAATAAGTCGGAAAAAGTCGTGTATCTTGAGTGCTTCCACGGCGTGCGCTGCGTTAATAGTCAAATTTGGACGAAAAATAATTTATGTCATTTCCTCTAAACAATATTCTAAGACTACATGTTTCCCGTTCATTCTCTTTAGGCCATAAAATGCAAATAATTATTTTTATTTTAAAATCTCAGAGCAATTAAATAAGACAGTGGTATATCATGAAGTTTTAAAAACTATTACTCCTACCTAATATTTAAGATAGATAATTATTCAACCCTGCCCGGGTTGAATTCATCTTAAAGGTCGCAGCTAATAAGTAATTACATTAATAGTACAACGTGTTATTTATAATATACAACTTTATGAAATTGCACTATGCTGCAATCATTAATATTATCATCATCATTGCAGCCCGCAACAAGTTCATATAGACTTCCCGTCGACATTGCCAAACGTAGACTACAGTCCATACAATTTCTTCAAAAGCTAGTTTTATAAAACAACAAATACCTATTACATAAAATAAATAAAATTTAACGTAGAATTAAAAACTGTAATATGATTGATGACAGTGTAGGTATTTATAATATATTATGTAAATAATATAAATCTAATTTAGTATCTATTAATAATGTAATTAATTCTAATTTAGATATTTATTGTTGACTCTACTATGTGCGGTCATATGATATACCTAGTCGTCGACATTGAAATCACTTAGCTTGATTAAAAAAATCTTCTCTTAATCTAAACTAAATTCTGTGTTTTATTTAGTATTTTATTTTTCTAAATATTTATTGGTGTTGGAAAATTACCGTGAGGAAACCTTAAAGAAAACATAAGTAATACTTTGAGGACGTATAGAGTTTTTGCCGACGAAATCCTTAAAATGTACAAAAGAATAAAATAAGAAACTGATGAGACTTATGTGGTTATCGTAAACTGTGTCTTTGCTTGAAATTAATACTTTGAATAGTTTTGATTGTAATCACACAACCAGACGGTTTTTTTATCTCCAATGGGGTCTGATCCCTAAAATTTTAGTACATATGTCATTTGTCAAGGATAATGCCAAATTACTAAGCATATCCCTATTCAACTTCCACAGCTTCCCCCTATTTGAGATACCTAATACATAAAAATTAATATTTGTTCGTATTTTATGCGCTGCTGTTCCTCAGATTGCGGTAAAACTTAATCAACTTATTGCTTGCACTTGCGCTAAGGTTATAGGGCTTAATACAATTAATTTACAGGAGATGGCGCGAGTATCTTATTGACAAAATTATTTGAAAGATATATAATTTTATATCAACTAATGTGTTATTATTCCTAATTAAACAATATATCTTTTCCAAATCCAAAACGATGTTTCCACAATTATTTCTTCTGCGGTAACAATGCGCCGGGTACCAGCTAGTAGGAGATAAATTTATACTATTAATTATTTAGAGTTGAAACATCATCAAAAGAATTTACTTAAATTAGTTATTATAATAAAATAAAAAAATTAATCAAATTAAAAAATAATTGACATGACTACAACGTAGAAAGTGCAACGAAGGCTCTCTACATGGCATCATTATCTTACAAAAGATTTCAACGCAGAATATCCAAAGGCATCTCTAACGAAAATCGCCTATTGTTACATTATCGCATTCTGTAAATATGAACTATATTTACTGATTGGTACTTTAAGACCAACACATGTTTTATATCAAATTTAAATAATAATAATAATGTCTTCCAGACCGAATTTCGGCCACGGCGGCCTGCTCCAACGGAGGCTAGTCATCGGCGCAGGGCAGGATGAGACACCGCCAACTTCCTAACTCCGGGCGACTACTAAGAATTTCTTGACTTAATTTATTGTCTTAATTAATTTTTTGGCCCGACCCGAGATTCGAACCCAGGACCTCATGATCAGCAGTCGCACTACTACAACCACTAGACCAACGAAGCAGTAAAAAGAAAAAATTAAATAATATATTATATATCATATGTTTTACATTACTTACATTACTTATTAAATTTGGAAAAATAAGTGTTATTAAAAATCTACAATTTATAAAAGTGTTAAGTAAATAGATTTAGAAAAGTAATAACTTTTCATAACTATAACATGAGATTCAATTAAAGCAACATAAACGTGTAACGTTAGTATTTTCTTACTGACATTCCTAACCAATTAAAAATATCTTGAAAATTTAGTAAAATAAAATAAGGCGTACGTAACGTAAACTTATTATAAATTATTAGCCGTTTATACAATTACGATTACCAACAAGTAAAGTCTTAAAGGTAATAAACCCACAATGTTGCCAGATCCTAAATAATGTAGGTGTTTTATGAATGCCTGTATGTTGAATTTTTTCATAACAGGATATTTATAAGACACTCACCCAGTGCATCGCTCCCCTCTCCTCGTATACTCCCATCTGGGGGTCAATTTTTCCGTTTTCTATTTTCGAACGATTGGGCCTTTGCCCCACTGCACTACAGCACTAACACACGTGGCATGACACCAATGCTCACTGCGTCGCGGTCGACGGACAACTGAGGGCTAACCGATGCTCCAGCGACTTCGTGGGCAGGAGGTACTCGGTGACGCCCCATGTTACGCCCCCGGGTCGATGGTGGGCGCCGGCAACAACATTTTTTTAATAATTTTTCGTACGCACCTTAACTACTGTTAAGTATTCTCTGTGCCGTAAAATTTTTTGAAACCTCTCATCTTAAATTGTTGTATGTACAATGTCATTATGAACTGTTTTTTTTATTCCTGTTTACAACTTTGACTTAATAACATATACCTATGACAATATTCACATAGTTCGCAAACTTCATAAACACCATTAAGCCAAAAACATGGAACATTATTTTAAAGTGCACGTCGCTTTTAGTAAAATCAGAGTGAAAACCTTCCTGATAGTAAGTGTTAAGCTACATCAGAAGACAGAAACCAGTAACTAAATTCAAACAAAGAATAGCCACTATTGTGTTGTCATTCCTGAGGGCTGGGATGAAATGTCTTAAATGAACTTACCTATAAGCGAAGTTTTAGATTAATAACCTGAAAGAAATATAAACTCATGGACAAATTAAGAGGAATGCAATAAAATGTTTACTTCTCCTGTTGTAACTAACTATCATGCGTAATAGCCAAAAACTTTTGTAAATCCTATCAAAAATGTTTTTGAATGTTTTTTTTTCGAATTTGATTAGCTTTTTTGTAATTGTTGTGTAATATAGTGTTCATTCATACCGCGAATTATTTTGTATTTGAGTTTAAATTTAGGTTTTGCTTATATTTTTACATTAACTGCCTTTTTTAACGTGTTAAGTGTGAATTGTTACTGCAAATAAACTGAGGATACCATATTTAAACGCCGCTCAAGTTGATAGGGCTGTTAATTTAATTGAAACTTTTTTTATTCTTGTTTTATTCAGGGATTTTTGTTCGTCAACATGTCAATCCCATTAAAGCTAGCCTAAAATCTGTACATTTGTTATTAATCTGCACATACTTAATGCAATATCCGAGGTGGGGCATGTTGGATGCCCTGCGCAATACCTATACTGTACACATATACTATATATATACACTATATACTACTGTACACATTTTCTTATATGTCCTTTCAAATAATTCCCTTGCCACTCGGTTCCGCTCACATTCCATTAAAAAATGATGTAAGTCTTCAATTACTCCACAAGTTTCACAGTTAGGTGAATCAGTTCTTTTGATCAAATAAGATTTTTGTTGATGGAATGTGACCTGTTCTTATTGTAAATATTAATTTAATAGTAATTCTATTTAATTTTGTATCTATATACCAAAGTATTTGAGACGGTTCGCTCTGTATCGTTTTATACCAAATACCTTCGGTTTTAGAACGTTCATTAAAAAATTCTTTCCATTTGTTATGACATGAATTTTTCAATTTTGGTAATACTTCTGACTAGCAAGGGTCAATATTATACTCTACACCATTTATACAAGCAGAATTCGCTAATCTATCTGCCTCCTCGTTACCCCATAAACCAATGTGTGCTGGAGTCCATTGCACTTTTGCACAGATGCCGCATAGACTGAACTGATATATTTAATTTTTATATTCATATATTTAATTTATTTGAAACTGGGCACACCTACAAACATGTATCCCAAGCATTAATAAACACTATTCGAGACTCGCAAGATAGGGACGTGGACGAAAAACTGGGGCCAGAGATGACCGGTTCATCGTTACCAGCGTGCTTAGAAACCGGACCTTAACTTCTTCTGAGGTAAGAACGAAGCCACAAGAAGTTCGAGGTACATTAGGCACAACAACTATGAGAAAAGTACTGAAAATGGTCGAAATAAATTGACACTTGCCTGGCCTTGGCAGAGGCCCCTTTCTTGCCATATGTCATCAAGTAGCTCAAGTTAATATTGCTACAATATGCAAACACGAAAATTGGAATGATGAAGCTTGGAGTATAATTTTATTCACAGATGAGTCCAGATTTTGTCTGAAGCCAGAGAGATACGCTCATTGTAACATTGTTGAAAAAAAGCATAAGAAGGAAATGGAAGGTTAGTTATGTTATGGGGAGGTATTTGTATGGGGGCACGTACGAAGCTTCGCATTATTGAAAATAGATCACTAACAGCGGCACGATATGGAACTGAGATTCTGGAAGAAATTGTAGAGTCATTTGTCCCTTTAATAGAAAATAGATTTGTTTTTATGCATGATAATATAAGCCCATATATTAAGGCCTTAGTTGTCAATTACATTCGATACTATAGGTTAGGCAGCGTATTTGCCCGATTAAACCCCGTATAGCATTTATGAGATAAGCTTGGAAGGCAAATTAAAAACAATATGAACAAATGCTGCCCCCGCTAATTTATGACATCTAAAAAAGTTATCACTGAAAGAATGAACGCAATATTCAAGATTTTATTAATTACTTTATAAAGAATATAAAGAGTAGTCTGGAAGCAGTTCGAAGAGCTAGAAGTGACGACAACTATTTACTGATTGCAGCCTTTAAGCATTTAAGCACTTTTTTTATAGGATAAGATGACAAACGAGCACACAGTCCACCTGATGGTAAGTGGTTGTTGTGGTGATGAATCAAAATGCAGATGCGTTGTCGCCGGTGAGGACTTAAATGGAATGCCTCGTTTCCGTTAAGCTACTATTTGACGCTGGTATTCTGTGAGAGCGTGGTCCTTCCCCGGTCGAGCCGACCCATTAGTGCTACAACTATACTACTAAGAATTTATGAAAATAAATTGAGTTCAAGAATGTTTCTTCCTGTAAAACTTTTCCTAATAATGTTAATTTTTGTCATTTCGTCGAATTAACGAATCATAAACAAAATCTAAATTGATAACCTTAATTGTCACAAATATCCATGATATTTTGTTTTATACACTTTTTTGCATTCCTTTAAAGACCATGATATCAATAAAACACATGTAGTTTTACATAAGAGCCACCACGCTGGTGGCTCACATCACAAAATTTCAGAGTTTTTTAGGGTTCCGTAGTTAAACAAGGAACCCTTACCCTACGTCCGTCCGTCCGTCAGTCCGCTCGCGGTTTTACTTGAGACCGTTGTTGCAACAAATCTGTAATTTGACATAGTTATAGATAATATTTATGCCCACAAATCAGTAGTAATTTTTATTTCGGGTACCTCACGTACAGGTAGAGGGAGGATGATTTTTTTAACCATTTTTGAACGGACTTAGCATGTTAATGATTCGATGTAGAAATCAAATCGAATAGTCTTTTAAATATTCCGTCCGCAGTGTTTGAAAGCAATGGGGGTGAGGTACAACATTATTTCGATTCAGGGTCTGTTTATGAAATATTTAGCTTTAAAATGGTGTTTTTCATCAGAGTAACGTGTCTCCCCCCTTCTACCAACTAAAACTGTTTCTGGAAATGTGAAAAGTATACTCAATAGTAGTATATATAACGAAGTTAAAATAAAAACTATCACAGCTAAGTAGAATTAATAATTTTACGAGTAATAGTTGGCCAACTTATATAATTCACTTAGATTAGTAAAACAATCCTCCAATTTCGTAGAAAATAATCTAAAACTAGCTGCATTATAACTTTTTAATGTTATCGTAAATTGTAAAAAATGAAAATTTTATGAAGAAAACGAATTCTATGTGTTAGTTCTATAGCTTTACTTTTTCCTTTGCGGAATAAGCAGGGAAAATCTTTCTTACTTACTTACAACTCTAGCTTATTTTTAGTCGGTAGTTATTATAAGCCCTATTTATAGTATTCGTACAATCATATAGTCTCATACAGTCTAGTTTGTTACGTCATATATATTGCACTGGCGGGAATGTATTTGACAGAATGTAGAGACAGAGGACTCAACATATAAATTATTTTATGTAGATTGTATTATTTTCAAAATTGAAGTTTTTTTAATATTTTCGGAATACCACACCCTATAATTCATATTGGTAATAAGTCCTTCAATTACAATCGCCCTATCTAAGCACATAATTTGTAGTTTGACGTCATAGCAGTCAAGCTACGGAATCCTTTCCCTACATTGTGCATGGCCTAACACGCACTTGGCCAGTTTTTTATTTTAATTTTCTATGGTTGCTTTCTGCCATGATCCGTCCGAATGCAAATATACGTCATTGAGTCGAGAGTAAGACTTTGAGGGATTGATGAGGGGTGGGTGTTACTAATCTCTTCGAATGATGCATTTTGTATATTTATGATAGAACTTCGTTTGCAGGTAAGTTCGTTTAAGCATGAATGACATTCATGCGTTATCCTCTAGATTAGTAACTTGAAATAAATATTATATTAATAACACACATGCAGACTTTGAGAGTATAATTAATAGAAATTGAACGAATAGATTATCATAATCTTCAAATTAAAGCTTTTAAGCTTTTTTACTTAAATTTTTCACACAGTCCACCTGATGGTATGTGGAAGCTGCAGCCCATGGAAATTTATCTATTATTGGAATCAACATTTAAATGCATTGTCACCGGACTAAGACGGAATGCGTCGTCTCGTCATCATTAGCATTAAGCTGCTATTTTATGCTGGTGTTCTTTGAGTGCGGGGCCTTTCCCCGGTCGAGCCGACCTATTCGTACTACAACTATAATATCAGCTGCATTGATACAGCATGGCTCTACCACGTCGCTTGGTAAAATTTGAGATACAAACAACTTTTTCTGTCAATCTGCTATAGAATCAAGGTAGGAGCAGACTGGTCCCACGTAGCGTACGCATTGCATTATGACATTTGGACTCTTATAATGCAGGAAGAAGTGGCGCATGAAAACTATTGCCTAAATTTTTAAATGCGATTTCTCTTCAAATTCTCCTACTGATGATATAAATGTACATTGCCAT